CCCCCCCCCCCCCCCCCCATCACCAATGAGGGTTTATTTACACTATATTTGATTCAAGAAATTTGAAAGACAAAAGAAAATAAAATGAGATAGAAAATCATTTTTCTTATTTTGTTAACGAAAAAAGAAAAGGAAAATGAAAAAAATGAGAAGGTAAAATAAACTAAAGATAAGGGAAAACAAAATGAGAGAAAAGCGTTGCATTTTCTTTTCCTTCCTAATTCTTTGAACCAAACAAAGGGTTAAGTGAAATGATTGTAGATTCTTACTCTCTAAGTTCACATGTTAAATCTTCTTTTAAAATTTAAACACCTAATACACATGACACATATATTGTTTTTTATTCAAACAATAATACGGAATAAATGACAACTACCAACAGCTGCATAGCACTATTGAATTATTTATTTACTGGCCCATCACCAAAAAAACCATTCTACGCCACATTTGTACATTTTTTTGGTACTTTTGAAATTTATACTGACATAAAATATAATTATAAAACAGACATAATGCCAATGTAAAATTAGAATTTATTGGTGTTGTACTTACATTTTGTTACAAAATTGAAATTTTGGTGTACAAAATAGTGGACAAATGTGATGTACTAGTAACATTATTGTCACACACAAAAAGAAATGGTTAAATTTCAAAGCTGAAATGTGAAGTTAAAGCAAAGGGTCAACAACTTCGGATGCTTTGGATCATTATGTGGGACTCCCAATAAGGAAAAGATGCAAATGCCATTTTCTTCTGTCCCTTTTTTCTCTTCTTGTGTTTCACACTCTTTTTTTAATATTCCTTATATAATTTGTGCAAATTTAAATCATTTTTTCCTTTTCCATTTACTACTGTAATACTTTTTCCATCCCATAACATAAATTTTTTTCACAAAATTTAAGAAAAAATATTAAAATGTGAAAACAATTTCTGGGGTGGAGTTTGTTTAGAAGAAAATTGTTATAAATATGGAGTAAAACTTTTTTTAAAAAAAAATAAGGAAATGAAAGAAACATAACATTTATTTTGAAAACCACAAAAAAAGAATAGCGTAACATTGTTGCCTGAGATAGGGAGTATTATACGGAGGAAAAAAAATACAATACTCCTAAAATATGTTACCTTCCCATAAGTCAACAAAAGAATTACTTTGTCTTGAAATCTGTAAAGTGAAATTGTGAATTTTAACATATGACGATCATATAAGACTTTGTTAATAAAAAAATGAAAAAAGGGGCAAGATTAAGAATAAACATAGAAAAAATATTAAAATAAGAGCTTCATCTTTTTATTTCCAAAATAAATATCAAAAAAACATTGTGGAATACCAATATCTAATGTTATATTGTCAGAGTACAAATTTTTATTTTCGGTGCAATTCTTTTGACATTATTTTTTCCAATAACTTTTATTTGCTTGCATATTATCATTGATTATTTGATAAAATAATCTTTTTTAAACTTTTCATTTCTATTAAAATCACTTTTGCCTCTATAAATTCTTAACATATGTATTATATTATATGTTTTTTCTAATAATCTACACATCACATTTTGCTTTTACCCATCACATCAAGGTATTTTTGGATAGTCAATTCACAAAAATATTTCTCCATTAAATTTTCTAAAACTCAAAATGGAAACATTTTTTTTTTTGATTATGTTGGGACGGATGAAATATTTTAATTTTGGGAGGAATGGGTAATAAATACCATAGGGAAGGGAAGTACATGATGTATTTGGGATCACACACCTCCTCCTGGTGCCAAAATATTCAATGGCAGCAGGGGAGCAAAGAATGCCAAGTCTCCTCGCCATTTTTGTTCTGGTTTTGGCGAAAGGGTGCTTGAGCAGCAGCCGCCGCGTGGACGGTGGCGGCGGGAAGGTTGTGACGGCGGTGGGGGATCCCGGGATGAAAAGGGACGAGCTGAGAGTGGGCATTGAAGCGTGGAACCAGTGCAATGAGGTTGGAGAAGAAGCTCCTCATATGGGTAGCCCCAGAGCCGCTGATTGTTTTCTTCTCTCCAAATCACCTTCTTCTTACTCTCATGGTTAGCTTAATTCTTTTTTGTGCTTCTTTTTTCTTTTCTTTGCTTCCATAGTTCCATGGGTGGGGTTCTTTTGACATCATCCATTAATGTCATATATTTTGAGTTATAACATTGTTTTAATTGGAGCATTTATAGTGCTCTGATCGAAAAAATGATGGTTCTATCTCATAATCCGCCTTCTCTAAACCTTCCACTTCGGCCTGACTAGACGTACTCACGCCCCTCTAGTTGATTTCAAAGTCAAAATTTCACCCAAAAATCAATAAAATTTGGGACTTGCAATTGGAGGGAGAGCGTTAGAACCAGACCGGACTTGAGGGTTTACGGGAGAAGCTAAGATAAGAATCATCAATTTTTCAATATCACATTAAGTGTTTCGATGTCATAATATCTCATGGAAATTTGATGTCAAAAAAACCATTGTTAGGAGTCATAATTGGTCCATTATCTTTATTTCTAATATAATTTATTTTAAAAAGCAAAAGATGAAAGAACTATATTATTTGATCAAAGTTTCATGAGATTATGTAAAAAATATTGATAGCGAGTATAATATAATCAAGTGATTTATATGGAGTGTATGGTTTTAATTTTGGAGCTGAGATTTTCTTTTTCATTTCAGATCTACTTTTTTCTTCAAAGTATTCAATTTCAACGAACAAAAACAGCTTACACATACGTTTGATTTAGTCGTCCGCTGTCTAAATGAATCGCGGAGTAATTTTAAGAAATGAATTTAAAATGTCAAATAAATTTTGAGTGCTTTGCGTCATTGAACTTTTCAAAAATTACATAGATTCCCCTAAACTTTAAAATTTGAACTAATGCCTCCTGAACTTTTAAAAATGTTGCACCAATGGTTCCTTTGTGTCAATTTGGGAGTACGCTGATTGCATGTTCATAAAAATACATGTTGGATCCTGATGAATATGTCATGGATTGATGAATATGTTGATCGATTGTTGACGACCTCTATCGATTGATGCAACAATTTTAAAAGTTTTGATGACATTGGTGCAATTTTTAAAGTTCAAAAAGAATCCGCACAATTTTTGAAAGGTTCAGGGATAAATGAAGCAAAAAAAATCAATAAATTTTTAAATGAATTTGTCACTCATTCATCTGAAGAATGCGCAAAACTCTATCTCGTCCTCAAAACGTCCCCGGTCGGTTAATTCCCAATAGCGGACGTTCCAACGCCGAAATCCTTTACTCAATATAAATTATGAAAATTTTGGTGTTTTCACACTTTCAATCCCATTCCCATATAAGTATTTTTTTTTTTTAATTTAGGTCCTGCAGGAAAGAAGAATTGCTCTTTGTTCACGTTAGAGCACAAAGTCACAGAAGATGACAACAAGTTAGGCATTGGGAAAATGTTCCCCAACCTAAGTCCAAAAGCATTGCACAATCCAGACCTATATGCTTACCAGAAAGAGCTCTACTTGGGCTTGAAATGTCAAGTGCACGACGAGCCGAGGCCATGGCAGTTCTGGATGATCATGCTCAAGAACGGCAACATGGACACGAAAGCGGCATTGTGCCCTAACAATGGCCACAAATCAAAGCCATTCCATGACCCCAACTTCCCTTGCTTTGGGAAAGGGTGCATGAACCAGCCTCTGATTTACCACAACTACACAACTTTACAAGGGCATAATGGTAACTGCCCTACACTCAGAGGCAGCTTTTATGGCACTTGGGATTTGAATGCCACCCCTTTTTCGCCTGAAATGGGGAAGAACGAAAACAACTCGTTCTATTCCGTGGTGTGGGAGAAGAAAGTTGGGAGTGGGAGCTGGACTTTCCACCATGTCTTGAAGACCTCGGCCAAGTACCCGTGGCTGATGCTTTATCTTCGGGCAGACGCCGCGAAGGGGTTCTCGGGCGGGTACCATTACCCAACCAGGGGGATGCTAAAAATCGTGAGTCACTCAACTTGACCATAAAGACTAAAAAGATTGAATCGGACCCGATTATCTAGTTCAGTTCAGTGATTTATTAACTCGTGATTTTTCTATCCAAAAGTTCTGATATGGGACACTTGACACTTTTTTATCAGATTCCGAAATCGCCTAACTTTAGGGTGAGATTCACACTGAATGTGATCAAGGGAGGAGGTCCAAAGAGCCAATTCTACTTGCTTGACATTGGGAGCTGTTGGAAGAACAATGGGAAGCCATGTGATGGAAATGTGACATCGGATGTCACAAGGTACAGTGAAATGGTACTAAACCCGGAGACGTCATCGTGGTGCAAGCCCAAGGATTGGAAACTCTGCCCTCCATTTCACACATTCCCTAATGGGACAAGAGTTCACCGGAACGACACTGCCCGTTTCCCCTATGGGGCATATCACATGTACTGTGCACCGGGGAATGGGGAGCACACCGAGAAGCCTAATGTCCCTTGTGACCCATACAGTAATCCCCAGCCTCAGGAGATTCTGCAGATCTTGCCTCACCCTGTTTGGGGTCACTATGGGTACCCTACAAAGAAAGGGCAGGGGTGGATTGGAGATTCAAGAACATGGGACCTTGATGTTGGCAACCTCTCACAAAACCTCTATTTTTATCAGGTACTTTTCTACATACATTGTCATTTTTTCAAGCCCAACCATGTTTTACTCCTCCACGAACCAATTCGATCAAAAGCTTTTAAGGAGTGAAATGATAACTCAGTTACATGCAGGATCCGGGGACGGCACCGGTCACGAGGAACTGGACATCAATTGACCTTGGAACTGAAATATATAAACATCCAAACCAAGCGGCAGAATGGACTGTCACTGACTTTGATGTTCTTGTTCCCAAGGGACAATAAACAAACATTGCCCTGGCAAAAAAAAAAAATTGCCTTTATTCAAGTTAATTAAATACATCATCTTTTGGGTTTTTGAAGGAAGCTGCTGGTTTAAAGAAAAACTGCAGTGTTTTCCTCAAGGATATATACATGTAGGGAGTGTAATTGAAAGGAAATAGTGGTGCATCTTCTTATGCCTTCTTTAATTGTAATTATGCTCCATAAATTTGTTGTGCTCTGCAAGAAATTTCTTGTCTTTTACGCTTGATATATTGTTAGAGTGCATCCCACATCGGAAGTCCACGAGTAAAATAATCGGTATATATATTATTTTTTAAACTAAAATGACACCACAATAATTAAACATAAACCATCAAAATAACTAAATAGGATCATCTAATTAAACTACTACTTCTATATAATAATCCTAGGCCTGGCTGCCTTGGTTGGGTCTGCACGGCATAGCTGCCTTGGTTGCCCTGGTGCAAAGATTGAGGCTTTGATGTGTTTGAGTCGACACTTGGATACATTTGGAAAGGATACCTTCTCTACTAACCGCTTCGCCGTCCGATCTGATAGAGCTCGTATCTTAGACGACGATGATCGGCGGAGACGCTTCGAACTTGACGGTGGTTCACCATGCGAACCAAACATCCGCGGGCCTGCCCGGGCCCCTATTTGATGAGCTGAACTCTTTATCCATATCCGTCCATCTTTGCAGGTCGGACTGCCCACCGGACCGCCCGGCCTGGATAAAACTTTGTAAGAAAAATTTAAAAAAAAGCATTAAACTCTTAATGTTTAAAATTAAATAAGCAGTCACCACATTTATATAGAAAGCATAATAGAGATATTGTTGCATAATTAATAAATCCATCACACCGATTCAGTAAAAGAGTATTGATTTTTGTTTAAAAGAGGTGAGTGAATTAAACTATTGTACATAAATTATAGAAAATTTTAAAATTTATATTGGCTAGGTAATTAAAATAAAGTAAATATGTTTTATGAATATGGGTGGGCATGTTGGTCCAGATGGGCTAAAAGTAACTTCCTGATCTGCCCATATACAATTCAGGCTTGGGCCGTCCCGCCCATTTGAGTATTAAAGGTTGTCCATATCCGTTCTTTTTAAAGGCCGAGCTGGGCGGGCCGAACGGGCCGACCCTTATTTGCATAGGTCTAATTCTCTCCTTATGGGAAGTCTTGAGTTGAGTCATCTTACCAACAAAAGTCCAGGTTTGAGAGTCATACCTTCTAAAGTTTTAGTGGTGGTCATTGTATAGTTGGGAAATGCAAAATGTGTCATGAGGTAAGATACAAGTTTTATTTCTGTTAATTGTGTTGAGAGGTAACTATGTTAATTATATTAAGCATAGAGCCTCTATTAATATCAGGTTCTACTCTGTACTACCAATTTGCAACAGGATCCAATTTATTTCTCTTAGTGACCCTGTATGGGGCCCATCCTCTATCGTAAATTGTCTTCATTGTCTTTACTGTTATCGAATGTCCACTACCTTCACTGCACTCTGCGTCGACTGCCGTTCACTATTATCCACTGCCTTCATTGCTTTTCGTCGTGTCATTGTCTTCCTTATTACAATTTCAATATCTTCCCTCATCTCCAATAATGTCTTCTCTATAATGTTAAAAAAAAAAGAAGATATTCATTATCCTTTTATAAGTGAAAGAAACTAAAAATGTTTATGTTCTCCAAAATAATTTGTCCGTCGAATGGAAAGGAATGGACTCACAAGAAAAAGATACACTATATTTGGTTGAAGAAAAAACAGAAAAAAGGTTATTATTCCGTATTCTTTTTCATTTTTTTGCCAAATGAGAACAACCTTTTTTCCACTATTTTTTTCTATTTATCTCTAGCAAACAAGAAGTATTATTTTTTCCATCTTTTTTTTATCTCTCAAATTTCTTGAATCAAACATAGTTTAATGTGAGTTTAATGTGAGATGGACTACAAGAAACATTCCGAAAGGACTCACATGTGAATTAGAAGAAAAATAACATTCCTTTAGTAATGGAATGGAGTAGACTTTGTTACACAGAATTGATGAAATTAGAATTGAACTCAAAGTTAAAATTTTATTGAATTGATTTGGATGGAATTTAATTCTTCAATTTCAATTCAAATTTGGCACTACTAATCCTAAATCTACATACTCCATATTTTTGTGCTACCAAATAGAAGAATTAGAATTGTTGTTCCCGATTTTTAGAAATAAAAGTATGAAATCCTTATTTTGATATATTTTCTATGTAAATACAAAGTACTATTTTAATTGTTTTCCATATATTATACTCCATAATTAATACTACATCTTTTAGAACTTTTTCAAATCAAACTAAACAAATCTTGATTATCAACTAAATAAAAATTGTATTGTACTTCCTTCGTCCTAAAAAAAAATTTTCAGTTTAGCTTACGAAGTTAAAATAAGTTTTTTAATTTATTTTATTATAAGTGTAAAATTAAAAAATATATATTAAAAAAGAAATCATTGTTGATAAGACTAAAAAAGTATGAAGTTATCAAAATAGAGTTTCCAATTTTTTAAGACCAAAATAAGAGTATAATGACAATGCGATATAAAAGTGTTGGGAGTATGATGAAAATGTAATTTGGCAATGTAACCAGTTAACCATTGCGGACCACCAGTCAACGTGGTAATCAGCCACAAACTCTTGTAGTTAGTGGAGACTGATGGCAGTGATAGTGTGACGTTCCAGTGTGAGAATGTGGTAAGCATGGTAGTGTAATAATGATAGTATAAACTTCTATTTTGATCTTAAAAAACTTAAGACTTTTATTTTAGTATTTTCATTATTTTTTTACTCTTATGCAGTGTGTTCTCCCTATTAAAAACTAATCAAATTTCCAATAAAACAAGAGATGACATAATTATATTATGTTACCAATTAACTAACAAAAATAGGTAAAAAAAATAATAATTAAAGTTTTACTGTGTGAATAGTAATTGTAGAAAAAAGTTTTAAAATGGAGGAAGCATACAACAACAACAACCCAGTTAAATCCCACAAGAGTAGGGTCTGGGGAGGGTGTGTGTACGCAGACCTTGCCCCTACTCGAAAGTAGAGAGGCTGTTTCCAAAGAGACCCCCGGCTCAACGTCGAAAGTTGCATTGTTTGACTAACTGCTACTTCATTAATTAAAGAAGCGCAGACAGTTTAGAGATCCATTTTGATTTATTCCATCACACCCCAAAGCCAAAAATGGTGAAATTTTGGATCCATCGGAGATAATGGAAGCATATTACTGCAAAAACGATAAGGTTCCGTTGACACTTTGTTCTCATTTGGAGCTCCTCCGATGCTCCAAATGAAAAATTAATGGTTTCAACCCCCTAGGCCCTAACCCCCTCCCTAAACACCCCACCGCACTCCACCCGAGTCCGACCCCTGCACTCCCACCCCCTTTTACCCCCAACTTTTATTCTTAAAAAACATGCAAAGATTGAGGAGGAGATAAATAAGGGAAAAGCTACTAGGATTATAATCACGTACACATGTTTGATGAAAGAAAAAAACTTGATGAAAAAGACTTATTATATCCACACATAAAAATTACTCCGTATCATTTAAAACAAATTATGCATAACAACCCGCCATAACAATTAGAGTTTGATTATGACTCTACCATGCATTCATTAATTATATTTAAACAGATAAACCAAAGGCAACAGAAAATCTAATATCCATTTCAATTCCCTGTGTGTGATGTGCTTGGAGCATATATCAATGGCGCAACAAAAAAGATTTGCATGCATTCTTCTTCTTCTTCATCTACTTGTGATCCAACAACTGTTCATTTCTGCGGCGTTTTCCGGCGGAGACCCCGCCGGGGACGGGTACATCTCGGCCGCCGGCGATCCGGGGATGAAGCGGGACGAGCTGAGATTGGCTATAGAGGCATGGAACCAATGCAATGAGGTGGGAGAAGAGGTTCCCAAAATGGGAAGCCCCAGAGCTGCTGATTGTTTTGATGTCTTTAAAGATTCTCCATTTCATCCCCAAGGTCTCTCTCTCTATCTCTCTCTCTCTCTCTCTCGCTCCATGTTTTCGTATGTCAATTATATTCTCAATCTTTTCTTCTTTATAAACAATGGTGGTGGGGGCTTTTATTAATAAAAATCCCACCTTTTGAAGATTTTTTTTAAAGTTGAGTTAGGTTTAATATACTTATTCTTGGTGTTCCTTCTGGGTTTTTTTTAAGATTTCCAATCATCATATCTGATGATTTATACTTGTGCAATCTAGTGCCAAACGTGTTGGTCCACAGAGTGACAGAGAGGGATAACAAGCTAGGAATCGGCCGTTCTTTTCCGGGTTTGGGGCAAAAAGCAATGTCCAATCCAGACCTTTATGCTTACCAGAAAGAGCTCTACTTGGGCTCGAAATGTCAAGTGGAGGACACACCAAGGCCATGGCAGTTCTGGATGATCATGCTCAAGAACGGCAACATGGACACAACGGCAGCAAAGTGCCCTAACAATGGCCACAAAGCAAAGCCATTCAATGACACACACTTCCCTTGCTTTGGGAGAGGGTGCATGAACCAGCCTCTGATTTACCACAATTACACAACTTTACAAGGGCATAATGGTAACTTCTCTACACTCAAAGGCAGCTTTTACGGAACGTGGGACTTGAACCCCACCACGGGTTCAGGGGAAACAGGAAAGAAATCGTTCTATTCCGTGGTGTGGGAGAAGGAACTTGGGAAGGGAAGTTGGATTTTCCACCATGTTTTGAGAACCTCGACGAAGTACCCATGGCTAATGCTTTATCTAAGAGCAGATGCCACGACTGGGTACTCGGGCGGGTACCATTATCCAACCAGGGGCATGTTAAAAATTGTGAGTATATTTCACACAGATAAAAATGTCATTTTTCCCTGTCCCACTGGAATTTATCAAATTGCAATTGTACTCTATATTAATTATTCAATGTGAGATTATTCATCCCTTGACATGTTTTTTAAAAATATGGTTTTTCAGACCCCGAAATCGCCAAACTTTAGGGTGAGATTCACACTAAACGTGATCAAGGGAGGAGGTCCATACAGCCAATTCTACTTGCTTGACATTGGGAGCTGTTGGAAGAACAATGGGAAGCCATGTGATGGAGATGTGACATCAGATGTCACACGGTACAGTGAAATGATACTAAATCCAGAGACAGCCCCACAGTGCAATGCTAAGGACAACAAGTTGTGCCCTCCATATCACACATTCCCTAATGGGACCAGAGTTCACCGGAACGACACTGCCCGTTTCCCCTATGGGGCTTATCACATGTACTGTGCACCTGGGAATGGGGAGCACACTGAGAAGCCTAATGTCCCTTGTGACCCATACAGTAATCCCCAGCCTCAGGAGATTTTGCAGATTTTGCCTCACCCTGTTTGGGGTGACTATGGGTACCCTACAAAGAAAGGGCAGGGATGGATTGGAGATTCAAGAACATGGGACCTTGACGTTGGCCGGCTATCACATTCCCTTTACTTTTACCAGGTAAAAGGCTAAATGACATGATTGACCTTCATTTTTGACATATAAAACGAAATGATAATCGTATACCCGATGCAGGATCCAGGGACTGCAACACTTACAAGGGAATGGACATCAATTGACCTGGGAACTGAAATATATAAACATCCAAACCAAGTGGCAGAATGGACTGTCACTGACTTTGATGTTCTTATTATTCCCAAGGAAACTAAGAGGCAATAGCTATCCTCCATGATTGGTAATTGTTACATATCACGTAGGATATGTTGATTGAGTGTAATATATTATGTAGTCATTATTTAGAGGAGGGTGGGGGTGGGGGTGGGGGTGGGGGGGACAGAAAACAATATCTCTTGTATGAATAAGACATTTCAGAAAATTACTAGGTTCTTGGTCTTATTGTCAAGGTTATGAGTATAATTCGACATGTTTTATTTCAAATATTTTGTTGTGTTATTACAAGTAGACTGTTGTGTCTTGAAATAGTTGTTCTTGCTAATAATAATAGAATGGAATAGGATAACGCTTGAACGAATGAAGGTATTTAAGGAGATGAACTAAACTGACAATAAATATATTTCTCGAGGTAGCCGGGGTAGCCCTACAAGTTAAAACTAACTAATACAAGCTTTAATGCTGCTCTAAGTTAATCCTTCTATGTTATTATCAGTGAGAAAAACTATTAACAGAAGGAACTTAACTTCTCAGAATGGAAGGACATTAATGAATCAATGAAATACAATTGAAACCTGCATATGAATCTGGCACCGTGATTTTCTAGCATTGCCTTGGAGACCTACCAGAGAGGCATTTCCCACATGAGACCAATTTCAGTAAACCTTTTGGCTTCCGACTTCTACATCTGAAGCGTGACAGCTGCTTGCAAAAAAAAAAGTGAGCGACGACTATAGATGAATTAAGATTAGCTCAGCTCATATCTGGCTACCTTTAAAGAGAAAATTCCCTATTTAGTCCCTCAACTGTACACATTACTCAATTTTGTCCGATTTTTTTTGGACCCTGAATTTAGACCTTGACTATGCATTTAAGACTCATTAGGGTTCTCGAGTATATTTCACTTTGATTAAGAAAGAGGGGTACATTTGTATGGTTGAGGAACAAATTGAGTCCTAAATTGGGTCTAAAATTAGTGAACGGAAAAAACACCATTCATAATTACAACTAAATATGTATGAGGACTAAATTGGGTCCAAATTTCTTAGTCGAGAATAAAATTGATTCCCAAAAGAAGTTGAGGACCAAATTGAGTTATTGAGGGAAGGAATTGAGTATTAACTTCACTTAAAATACTTACAGCCTACTCTGATTTCAAAAGAAAACAATAAATTTCAATATTTCAGAAACGTATTGTTTTGTTTAACTAGTGAAGAAATTGGCATCCATGTAAAGGATTCACCTTACAGTATGTGTATAACATGGTTCTAACAGTACGGAGATGATGATGCGTCAAAGAATTATCTTTATATTCATCATGGTTACCTGTCGGCGTGAAAGTGGTGTGGCCTTCCAGCAAAGCAAGCTTCGTGATCTTGGTTCCAGTCTCCTGTACAACATAAGAGGTGAGGTTAATTATTGCACTCTAAGATAAGACCCAAAACAAGCCAATACGAACAATTATTTATATATACTAATGGAGAAAATGGGAAAGATAAATGATTGGGAAAACAAGAATGTACATACAGATTCTCTTGTTCAAGCTTTTCAGCAATAGAAACAGCCTTGTGTTTAGACCATCCACACTCTTGAGAACTTCCTTCCTCTTGCTGAGCAACAGAAGGCTTTCCTCTCACCAGTCTCAGATTCTGATTTCCATCTCCCCTTTTTCTTACATCTGAAACTGAACTTATCCCTTCAACAATTTCATTTTCCAAACTCCGCCTATTGAATCGGACATTTTCAACATGTTCATCAATAACCTCACTCATTTCTAAATCATCCTGAGATGCGTGCATGGCAACTGGCCCTGCCCTTGTATCATCATCTCTTGACATGTCAACTCTGATTTCAATCGTCACGGGGGATCCAATTATAGACTCAAAAGCTTGTAATATATGTACTCTAAATTTTTCCGCCCTATTTTTTGTTGTGTGAGAGCTGAACATTAGTTGCACCGTGGGAGCTTCAAGAAGACATCCAGAAAATTCTAAGAACGTCAAGCTCCCAAAAAAAGAAGTTTTGAACTTTTAATAGCTTATGAGTCTATTCGTATGAAGGCTTTAGAGGGGAAGACTTAGAAAAGCTCTGATCTTTTCATCGTAAGTGATTTCTCATTTAAGCTTCGTCCATTCCCAATGAAGATAAAAGAGTCATTTTGACATTGTTTAAGTTTGGAGCACATAATGGACTAAATCAAAATGGCACAGTACACTTCTCTTTCTTCTTACTTTGTATGAAGTTTTGGGCAGTAAATTAATGGCTAATAGAAACAGCCTCCTCTCTTTCTNCCCCCCCCCCAAAGACCCCAACAAAGTTAGGATTATATATTTATATTGGGTTATTGTTGTTGCTGATTTCTCATTTAAGCGATTAAAAATGATTTTTTGACAAAAAAGCACCAATGTGCTTCTTTTTAAAAAATATATATATACAGAAACGGTTTTTCACTGTTAAAAACAATCTTTTTCATTTTCCTGTCAAACTCTTTTGAGAAATTTATAATTACTTTTCTACCTAAAAAAATCACTTTTGGAAAATAAGTAATCCAAAATGTATGTTTAGTCAATTTCTAGATTAAAAGAATGTTCTCAAAACTGTGAATAATGTGTTTTGAAATTATTCCATGATGCCCTATTATGTTATTCCTTCAACTTTTATAAAATCACAAATATAGATTAAGATATAGACTTAGCCCTCCCACATCATCCCCAATGCCCTCCCATCCAAACCAACCTTCACTACAATCAGATATGTGTGGGGGTGGGGGGAATTGTAACAAAAATCCACAACAGAGTTTAAGTGTTATATATGCATTTTACATCAAATGAAAAAAATAAGTTACCTGTTCCAGAACGAACAGAGACCAACTTTGCTTCCTGATACAAGAATTGTCTTAAGCTATCAATACGAATCTTTTTTAGCACAGCCACCCAAATTTCTTCAGTGTCATCCTGTATTTTAACTTGATGATATCTCTCCTCCCTAATATTTGTTGACAACCCTCGTTCTTCCGGAAGAATCTCAATACGTTCACCATTACTTTTTCTGGGTCTCTCCCTTATACCGGCATAATTTACGTTTGTGGGGCTTTGGTTTAGGCTAGTAGCTGCAGAAGAACTGGGTAAGATGTACTGTTGGTCAGGACCAAGCTGCAGTAGAGCAGCTGTAAGCCAGGTAAGTTGGTCCTTTGATGTTCTGAGCTGTTTTTCTGCTTCGGATAATGTTTTAAGGGCCTGACGTAATCTTTCCATGTCTTCTTTAGATACTGAAAACCAAATACAAAGTCATTTATTCAGTTCAAGGAGGGAAAATAACAAATGTAGCATAGCTGATCGATAGAAAATAAAGATAACTACCTCTATCCCTAGATAGAGTCGTGATCAAATATACAACGTTTGAAGTTTGGTGAGGTACAAAATTTTCTCAATAAAATTTTATTTTCTTGAACTCTACGCGAAGTGAATGCGAGAACAAAAAAAATGGATGGAGGGAGTATAGTATTTTCATCTATTTATAACGGAAAAGTTGCATGAAACTTAGATTTGGCTGATCATATTGGACTCTTTTTTTGGGACAAAAGAAGTCTTTAAAACGGGACTCTTTTCCGCAACAAATGGAGTAAATGATGATGAATAAATAATAAATGCTACGGAGTGTTTGATGTTTTGAAATTTGCTTACATGCTTGATACCGGAAAAACTTCCTTGTGTGACTGTCTTTAGTGAAATCATAGCTTCCAGCAAGAATATCAGTAATGACCGTAGCAAGTTGTGACATTAAAGCCAAAGGCTCAACCCCAGACTCCATTATCTCTCTCAAATTTCTCACAGTATTGGCTGTGTCTGCCGATAATGCCAAGTCTAGTAGATCTACTAACTTCTCATCAGAAATAAGCCCAACCTGAAAATGTTATATTCAAAATATCAATGCAGTGGATATAACATATACTTTGATTTAAAAACCAAAAAAAAGGACATTACCAGTTCTTGGACCAAAGGAACAGAGATTCTCAGCCCGAGCAAGCTCAGCTGCTCAAGGGTCATCTCAGCATCCCTCAAAGATCCATCTGATCTTGTGGCTATAAGCTTAAGTGCATCCTTGTCGATTTCTAGACCTTCTTTGGTTGCAATCCACTGCAATGCATAAATTACATCTGCGTCCTTCAACTTTGGGAAAAAAAACTTGTGGCACCTTGATATGATCATATGAGGCAACAAATCAAGGCTTGAACAAATGAGGATAACAACAAAACACCTCGGTGCACAATCAGTAGCCTTTATAATAGCACCCCAACTATCAGCGGACAAAGCATCACAATCATCAAAAATAAACACTCTGTACCGGGATGGAAGATGAGCAGCAATTATCATACTGTCAAGAAGATCCTTTACGTTGTTATGATAACTCTTCTTCTTCCCCGTATCATATGCAATGCATGAGTTGCAAATCCCGCAAGGCTTGGAATGTTCCGGAGATTGGCAATTTAAAGCCTTAGCAAATACGCGGGCGCATGAAGTTTTCCCAGTGCCATGGGGCCCATAGAAGGCATAAAGTAACCCCACCTTGCTCTTGGAAACTGCATTGGAAAGGGCTTGTGTGACCAAATGCTGGCCCACCAGATCTCTAAAGGTCCTAGGCATATATTTCTGGGTAAGACTTTGGTGCCTTACAGTTTTGTGTTTCATCAGTAGATCATCAGCAAAGTCACCCAAATCTCCCGAATAATCATGAGCCCAAGCAACGTTGTTGTCTTTACTTCCCAGAGAGACCGAAGAAGCATCATCATCAAATAGTAAAGGCAATGCCTCCGTAGACTTACCGGAAGAAGAATCTGTGTACTCAGATGATACATGAATAGCTGCAATGTCTTTATCTTTCTTTAACATTGACTCAGACAAACCACAAGAGAAGCTCCTCCCAGCCATGTCCAAAAATGATTTGCTTCTGTCGTGGATTTTTGACCAGTTCAAAGGAATTCCACATCCATTCCTAGGGGCCCTGGTGATTCTTTTATCTGCACTTTCCTCCCCTGCCACATGAATCACACATTTAGCTAGAGAATTAGAAGCATCTCTGGGAGGACCTGAAACTCGGGTTCTTCTGGAACCTCGAAAGGGACGCCGTTTTACTCTCCTGTTACAGTATGTACTATGGATATTTGCTTCCATTGCAAGATTCTGACTGGATGAGTCCACCTCATCACAGTGCAGTTGCTCTGAGAGAGTCCTCATGCGATCCTCTTGAACGCGCCTTCCACTTTGCTTGATACTCTTATCTCTCCTAACGCTTCTCGCCCGTTCCTGACTACCACTACTCTTGCTACTCCCACTACTGTATTTATCAACTTTAGAAGAAGATGATCTATGAACCTCATATTGTGGGCAGTCTGTGCCAACAGAATGTCTGCCATTTCTTACAGGGGCTGGAGGAGACTGCCACAGGGGTGGGGGGCTTGCGGAAGGATCCCTCAAGGATCTTGATCTCTGAAGGATGGCAAGATCCCTCATGACGGACCGATCAGACAATATAGGGCTTTGCTTATTATGCATATGGTTCTTCAGATGAATACAATTGGTTAAATGTATGTGATTCCTCAAATGGTCACCAATGTTTGTACCATCATTCACATCATTCAGTACCCCGTCGCGGACTATCTTTTTGGTCATGATCCGCATGCATTCAGCAACAACAAAACCTCATTTATAGTATTGTCACTATCCTGTCTCTATACATTTTCTATACGGATAATAATGACCAAATCCAATCACCAAGCAATGAAGAAATTCTACAAAAGAACTAATACTAGCTAGCAGCTAGTCATTTCAGGCCATTAACCCCTCACCATTCCTACTCATATCCAAAAAAATACAACAACAAAAATCAAGAACCCATTTTGTGTTCAATCATAAAAATTCTATCTTTTCTGTTGAAAACGCCATAATGCTCATTTTCTTATCTAGAGGTGAGAACATTGCATGCCCGGGTCATTAATTTCAAAAAAAAATTAACAATCACACAAAATTCACAGAAGAAACAAGTGAGGTTAGAAAGCACCGCAATAAACTGAATCTCATCTCAAGAGGCAACACGCTGCTGCATTTACTGTCAAAATCGTGTGATTTCTTTCACTTTCACAGATCTCTTGCTTGCCCTCCCCATACGCTTTCAAGTACATGAGCTTCACGGGAGCTCTTTCCAAGAAAACAAAATCTGAAGATAGAAAGAACCCATGTTGATTCTTTGTGTGGGCAAGAAAGGAAAGGAGTAAGGAGAGCAGCAAAATAGAGTTCAAAATAGAGTGCTTTTTCAGAGTAAGATTCTTGTCATTTTTGGCAATGGGGGAGGGCAGAGAGAAATTGCAGTATCCCAATTAACCCTCCAATAAGATCTGTTTCTCAAAACGGGTGAAAAAGTGAAAAGTAATAAAATATTCAAAAACGTGATTGAATGATTCTATTTTGCCAAAAATATCACTTTTTTTAAAAATAATATCATTAGACTTCTTAAGTTCTTATAATATGCACTAAAAAAGACTCTTTAAAATACGGAGTATTTAAAATTTGACTCAAATTCGTTTAAAACATGCATAATCTCTTTTAACTAGTAAAACCTTCTTTTAATTGTATGTTTTTTCAAATATTTTTTTTATTATTTCTCAGAAAAAATTATTTTTTTGTCAATTTCTCATCGGCTCACATGAAAAAAATTCGTTCTTAACTTTAGAAAAAAAAGTGTAAAAACGAAAAGTGTATCGTGAAATTTAAAGAGGAGTGAACGGAAAAGCTTACTAAAATATCTCCCAAATCAACTTTTTATATTTATTAAGAAGAATTTAAAAAAATTAAAAGTTTACTAAAATATATACTTAATGAAAATGTGTGAAATATGTTAAATGAGGAAACTGGGGTGTAATAAATAGATTAAGTAGGAATATTTTGTGATATTTTAAAGATATTGAGGAATTTTTTCTAGAGAAACAACATTTGAGAAAATTTATGAAAAAATTATGGAAAATTTACAGGTCACCATAAAAGAAAAATTTTGGTTGGTTAGGTATTGGCTTTACTAATACCTTCACTCCAGTGGAAAAGTAAACAACCGTTCATGTTGTATTGTCAGTTGTCGTTGTTATGGTTGGCAGGTTGACCACTTAGATATGAATAATGTCTTTTTATATGGGGACATTCGGCCGGAGGTTTATATGAATGTTTCTCCCGATTATGAGCGGTTATTTCCCATGAAGGTTTTCCGTTTATGCAAATCTCACTACGGGCTTCGTCAGTCTCCTCGCAACTGATTTGATAAACTCTGAATGACACTACGATGTTATCTAGATATGTATATGTTAGATGTACGATAAATATTGTGCATCTGAATGTATAATATGGGAACACCGCAACTCCCTAGAAACATTAACAAATTATACTGTAGATCTAGAATCAATGCACCTATTTTCCTATGCATCCAAATGAGTATTGTGTAATACGTAATGTGCATACACTAAGGGGGTGTATTCAATCTGAATTCTGCAATATTTTTTTAGATTTCAAAAGTTTCTAGGTATTCAATTCAGATTTTAAAAAAGTCAGTTAAAATCTTGATATATTTAAATCAGATTTTAAAAAGTCATTTAAGATCTGAATGTAGTCGATTCAGACTTTAAAATATCTTTCTAAATTTAATGGTATTAAAAAATTAATAGATTTTAAAAGATTTTTATAAAATATGGATTTTGATGAATTTTGGGGCTTTGAGTATAAATTGAAATCTAATTTCAAATCACACAAAAATGTAGAGATTTTGTAGACTTCACGATTGACTCTTCCGATACACAAGGGGCATGCCTCTCGTCTCCTTCATCTCTTCGATCTTTTTTAATGGATCCCCATCCACTTTTGTCAGAGGAAACCTTCTTCAAGAATTTGCAATTTTGCCATGTGATCTTCTTCAATGGATCCCCATAATCGATTTTGTCAAAAGAAATCTTTTTTCAATGGACCCCCAATCTAATTTTGATCTTCTTCTATTGATCATCATCATCAACAACAACTACAAGTGGTTAGAGTTTCACATGTTCTGAGCTCGGGCATCCTCCTTCAAGAATTTGCAATTTTGCCATGGTATTTTCAATTTAATTTTACAAAATAAAATACTGGTTGGATCAGGTCTACTAATAGAGTTATCTAATATCCCCGTCGTTCTTAATTACAATCTTACCAACCATTACCGACTAGCAACAATAGAATTACCCAATATTCTAATTGTTCTTACCCAACCAGTACAAGAGGAAAAGTATGACTCATAAGAGGGCTAGGAAGGAAGGGCATATAGACATGAACTTTTTAAAAATATAAACAAATTTATTAAAAGAGTAAATTCCATAATTGGTCCTTTATAACAGAGGGGTTTCCCTATTTAGTCATCTTTTTTTCAAATATTACCCAGTGATCCTTCTTTTATGAGTACCTTTCCACAAATAATCCTTTTTTGATCTTCTATCATGTTGGTGTTAATTTAAGGGCTAAAAGTATAATTTCACAATGATAATATATCTTTTTTGTCATTCACAATTCCAAAGGTTGTTCCGTTTGCGTCATTTGTGAATTACAGTCACTTTCAACTACAATCATAGTCGAAAAATGTGGTCTTTCGTCGGAATCCTAGCCCACAATCATAGTTATTATTTTTGTGTTATCCGCTTAACCAATGTCAGAACACATCACTAGACATAATATTGATGTCAAATTATACTTTTAGCCTTTAAATTAACACTAACATGGTAAAAGATAAAAAAAGGACCATTTGTGGAAAGACACTCTTAAAAAAGGACTACGAGGGTAATATTTGATAATAGAGGACTAAATATGGAAACTCCTTTGTTATAAAAGACCGATTATGGAATTTACTTTTATTAAAATCTATTCAAATTCATTTGGAATTTAGTTAAATCTATCCATATTCATATGAAGTTTAAATAATCTATGAATCATACATAATCTATGGATTTTAAGAACTCTAAGAGATTTTTTTGAAATCTCATTTGAATACACCTTCTTAAATTTATGCTAAGTACACTATAAGTATGTTTAAAAAATACTTTTGTGAATCTATGTTTTTTTTGTAATTTTATTTTTAAGACATCATTTTAGCCTACTAAGGATTATATGTGATATTAGTAATATAATAAAAAATATTTCTAAATAATAAAATAATCATTGTGTAAGTACTAAAGAATGCTTCTATAGTGTATCTTGAGTTCATATTATTTTTGTAAACCTTCACACATAAATACTTTTTTTATTTGTATTTCTTAATTTAAAAAAATGTTATTTTAATACTAAGAAACTGCTTAGTTATTTGAATGATGATATAGGTTAATGATAAATTTTAGGGCCACCATAAAATTTGCGATTACTAAATTGACATTCAATGTTATAGAAAAACGAAATGTGGGACAAACATATAATCCCTTTGTCTTAGGGTCCGTTTGGTACACGGAATTGATGGAGTTGAAATTGAATTGGAATTAAAATTTAATGGGATTCAATTCCATAGAATTGAATTCACCAATTCCAATTCATTTTTTGCACTACTAATTCCAAATCCATATAATTTTTGTGCTACCAAACATATAATTGAATTCATCAATTCCAATTTCAGTACCAAACGGGACCTTAACGTATTTTTATACAGTGTAATAAAAATTAAATCTAATGAAATTATCTTTGAACTAATATATGGAGTATATATACGGAGTATTTTTTATTTAATTGAAATTAAAAGTGAACTTTTACAGCTGCTGTTAAGTTTCTACCACCACTGGGCATGGCGGCATGTCACCCAAGTGAATTGGTTTCCGAGTAGCTTACTCCTTACTAGCTTCTTCACTCATCATCACCATCAGTGCATGAAGAAGAGAGATGGATTGCCATTGGGGCGTAAACAGGACACCGTCTTCTTGCTCAGCCGTCCTCAACTTTCGGGTATGTTCCTGTATTTGGGGGTTTCTCCCAATATGGACGTGTAATGGTCGCCATCCTCTGATGAACAGCTCGTTAAGATATACGGATTACTCCGTAAAATTTTGCTTCTTTTGATATAGATAATTCATAGCAGACAAGTATTTATGGGGAATCGACTAATAATTATACTCCCAAATTATTAGGGTTGAAGTCAATTGTTTGGCTGAAACTTAGTTCTATATTTCATCTCAATAAGCACATTGAAGCATTCTAGCTATAATATGATTTCGTTAAATTCTTTTCGAAATCAGCTCAATCAACCTGATATGAATCGTATCGGGATAGGGAGGAACTTCAATCGTCTTCAAGCTCCAAGAAAGAGGAGGCAAAGAGAGAAGGAATTCTTCAAGCGTTTCCGGTTTCCGAAGAAAATCGAGATTTAGGGTTTTGATATTTCGGATTGATTCATTAATAATGAGGAAGGATTACAATATATATAGAGTAAAAGTAATGCTATTTGACGTAATGGGCTTGGGCCTATACTAAAACTCTAAACCCTATTAACTATAGAATATTAAATAATAAATACTTGTACTAATTAACTAATAATTAATTAAATATGCTAATTGCCATACATATCATAACCTCCACCAAACTGGCTGCTATTTTGTAATTCTGTACTCCCTCAGTCCCGAAATTAAGTTTACACTTCCCTTTTTGGATATCCCAAAATAAGGTTTACACTTCCTCACTTTCTTATCAAGAATACGAAGAAAACTAATATGTTTCTCATAGTATTTCTCTCTTCTAAACCAATATCAACCATACATTTCTATTGAACTCCTTGAAGTCAAACCGTAAACTTCATTTTCGGATGGAGGGAGTATAGTTTAGTTTTTTATGTGTTTGAGCATTGCGAGGTTATCCGTCGTCTACTTTATTGTTATATAATGGTGAAAATCTTTTCTAGAGATTCTAGGTGAAAGTTTTTCTTATTAAGCTGGCTCACTTCCACATAACTCGCGTATTATTTATATACATACTTGTAGTAACTTAGCTATAAGTAATGCAGGGTGGCCCATCACTTGGTGTAGGACTCTCTAAAAGATCATTGTATCCATTATCATCACTCTCCAAACCTTGCCAGCAGCGTAAGATCAAAACTCGACATTTTACAAGTAAGAAAAGCTCTCAACATCTTACTTTTGCAACGTATAAGGGCCCTTCAGCCCGAACCGGACCACAACCTTGGGATCTTGGAAGATTTCTTAGTACATTGTATTATTTTAATGGACCTCCCTCCCCTTTCAAGGTTTGGGTTGCTTTCTCTTATTATTTATTAATTAATTAGTCATTGTTTGGAAATCTTAAACACATTTAACAAGGCTGGTCTATTTT